TATAAGAACTTATAAACACTATTTTATATTTATAATAATTGGCAATTGCTGATATAAATTTATAAAAGCTCCGCGAGTAACGTTCAACGTGTTTCCGGTTATCACAAAGGTAAACAATAGAGCTATTTGTAGCCACAATTTATGAATTTTGCACTCCTTCATATTCCTTTTGCCGACAAGTTTTATTGCGAATAACATAACTTTAAGTATTCTACTTTAACCCTAAAAGTGTTTTAGTCACCAAGTAGGTTGCACTTTTGAGAATTTTTAGTTTGAATTTTGTACCTAATCATTAGTTGTTCGGCGAACGAAAATACCGACTTCCTTGGATGGAGACTAGTAGGCTTAAAATAAGATGTTCAACAAATTCGTTCAACATTCTAAAAGAAGAAGAATATGTCTCAATACGCTGAAAAAAATTTTTAATTTGACGCGAGACTTTCCGAGTTATGATGCACAATATAACACACATTTGACAGCCGTTTTCGGGGTCAAATTTCAGTGTCGCTGATGTCCAGACAAAAATTCGTCATAACTCAAAAATAAAGAAAAATTTAGAAATTCTAATATTAGTTTAATACCTTTTAGGATAAAGGTAGTTCATGGTAAAAATTTAAAGGAAATCTGATTTTCAACCTGAAACGCTCTGCATGGTTCTTAGTGAGACAGCCACTTAATTTTTCTTTGAAGTAATCATATTCTTTCCAGAAATATTCATTTTCCTTTTTATTTCAGAACCATTCTCAGAGATGTGAAAAACTAGTTTCATATTCCGACACTGTAAAGAACAGCGAAATTATTTTTCCTACCTGAAATATTTATATTCCTACCAGAAATAGTCATATTCTCACCAGAGATTCAAATTAGTTTAAAACCCAGTTATCCAGTAAAGTGCTCGGATTTGGTATATTACATTAAAAATTGGTTAGAATAATACTATACGATCACCTCTTTTCTTGTTTAGGGACTCAAACTTCCATCAAATTATATTGCAAGCCAAGGTTTGCTTTTATTCTTGTTGTTTGAAACTTTCACATATTGTACATCAGCACTAACTCACTCTCTGGTCTTATTTCCACGCTGAAATGCATCTAAAAGATCCTCCTTGTTCCCATACAACAGACTTAATACTCACGTAAATCGTAACTGGTTAACTTGTTCCATTTAGGACCAACTCCCCACACAACAAATGACTTTTGGCAAATGGTTTGGGAGCAAGAAGTTAGCATTATTGTGATGCTGACTGGTTTGGAAGAGAAAGGAACGGTGAGTAACTCTCTTATTCCTTCTGTATGTCTTATAGGCCCGCTGTAATTGACGAAAGCTGTAGCGTGTATACCTGTCCTCTGTTTATACAGCTAATTCAAGAAAAGTTGTCCATTGAAAACCTTAAACTCTAAATCTTAAAACTTAAATTCTAAGCGTGCAAAGCATAATGGGAGTATTATTTAATCAGTTTAGAAATCATATATGGTAAATATCTCCTTACGAGAAGAATTCATTCACAAATAGCTGCAATATTCAACTACTAAGCTTGAAACTCGTGCTCCCATTAAGCTTTGCGCTGATTTTGTTTCGGATAGACTTGTATTCTTCCAAGCTGTCGGCTGGTATTTGTTTTCTAAGTGTAATCGTATAATTTGTATACTCTTTTTTGTTTCGGACGTGATTCACTCAGGGGTTTCCACTTTCCACTTTTACTTAATTAAGTGAAGCGTACATTATTCATTAGCCTTGTTAGTTCAGTAGTAAGTGAGCGAATTCTGCTAAGCCGCGCACTTCTGTTTCTTTCCAAAAATAAATGAGATTCATTTCAGCTGCATTCCACGCAACTAATTATCTAATATACGTTTACACCATAGCAAACCATGGCAGAATTTAGGTAGAATACTGTGATTAGTATGATGAACGCCATGTTTTGTCTCTACAGGTGAAATGTTACCAGTACTGGCCTGTCAATACTGATGAGCAAAAATATGGTAATCTCACACTCAAGCTAACTGGTGAAACGGTACTTGCTGATTTCACAACACGATATTTTGAAATGAAGGTAACATGCTTTTCTTTTATTGTACAATGTATGTGTTGTAATATTATATAAGTATAGAGTATAATACAGGAAAAACTTTGGAAAAGTAGAAAAATAGGGGGTTAAACTTCTCCAAACATAAGGGTTATTACATATTAAATATTCACAATTCCAAGTGTTGTTGCTTTAATTAAAAAGTTGTTGTACGTGGACTGGTGGAGGAATAAAACGTCGACTGTTTTCTTTGTACATATCAAATTCAGGGGCGGATCTACCGGTGGGGAGCAGGAGGGAACGCACCCCCCCCCCCCCTAGTAGTGTCCAGCACCCAAGAAAACTCTCATGGTATTCCATATTTGAGTTGTGAATACTATTTTTTAAATTGAAAGGATTGATTTTCGAATACGCGGGAAAGTATTCTAACACCAATACTGACTGTCACCATATAACGTAGCGCTTTTCTTAATTTTCCCCACACTACAAGTACTGTGAGGACAAATTTAAAGAATAAATGTAGTGCGAAGAATGGAGGAAATAGCATTTCGGGATTTCAAATTTCAAACATTTTCTGAGCTAGGGACAATGCCCACAGACCCCGCATTAATGTGCCCCGTCTGGAAAACCTCCACCCCCTCTAACAAATAAGATCAGATCTGCCCCTGCTCAAATTTTCCTCAGGTCAAATTTTCCATTTTTCTCTGGTCAAATTTTCCAATTTTAAGGCCCATTTCCACTCAAGAAAAATTTCCACGGACAGAAAATTTTCCAAAAATATCATTGTTAAAAGTTGAAAATTGTCAACTTCAAAATTTTTTTCCGACGGAAAATTTGTGTCGGCCAATCACACTTTACAAAATTTTCTTTCTACGGAAAATTTTCCTGAGTGGAAATGGGCGTTTAGATTTAAAATGTCCCCGGAGCTATCTATTTAAATTTTGTTTTGTCCCCATGCAACCGAACGAGTATTCGCCGCCCATGGTATAATCATGAGTACGAGTTTTGAGTTTTTATACCTTATTTTGTATAAACTATGTTCAAGCTCTTATATAAAAAAAACAGCAAAAGTTCTGTACTAAAGATGCTAATCGTCTTACTCTTAAGACAATACGTGGAATAAAACTTTTTGTCATACGATTCCATTTCTCATTTCGAGACTATAGTCATATGATTTAAGTCGTTGATAATACAATATGATTGGTCAATTTCCTTCCAGGAAGCAGATACAGGTCAAATCCGTCTTGTTCAACATCTTCATTTCACAGCCTGGCCTGATCATGGCGTGCCAAAATACCCTGGCCCTCTTTTGCACTTCCATAAACGTTATAGATCTGGTTTATCAGGCCCAGAACCAGTGGTGGTCCACTGCAGGTTAGTTCTGGAAGATTCGAAATACTCTCATTGATTGGTCCTGAACAGTAGTGGACATTTCGCGAAATACTGGAAATGTGAATTTAGCTTGTGAACGTATTTTTTGTTGTTGTTGCAAATGTTACACCTCAAAATTGATTAGTTTCAAGCGTATTAATACATTGCGTATTAATGTACATTTCCCAAGGGCAAATTGACTAAATCTTGTTTAATTTGGGTAAAAATTGGGTGAGAAATTGGCAAACGTTTGTTATGCATTGCCGGGCAATTTGCCGGGTAATTAAATTAATCTATTGTATAATTTATGCATGGTACATATGTGACTTAATTCGCTGTTGGAAGTATGCTGTCTGAGTGCCCTCTTATAGTTTCTAAATGCATTAATTTGTAAGTAAAGCAATAAAGTAAATGCATTTTAAAACAAAACAGCAAAACTAATTAAAAATTATAATTTAATTTGTTATTAATAAGATATCTGCGAATGGCTTTAAGTGGAAAGGAATAATTACATTGGCAATTTTTGTTTTCTTCGACCATCAACCAAATGTGTACCACACTAGTAATATGCATTTCAAATCATGCATTTCTTGTTTGTTTCGAGTATAAATGCCTATAAATGCCATATAATAAACTTTTTATTAACCTCACTTGCTCGGTCTTTACAGAGAAATATCGGACCTCAGTCTTTTTGTACAAACTCGCCCTACAGGCTCGGTCTGTACAAAAAAGACTTCAGTCCGATATTTCTCTGTAAAGACCACGCGCTCGGTTAATATAAAGAAGTTAGTAATTGACAAAGTGAAATATGTGTCATTAATATTTTAGTGCTGGAGTGGGACGCACAGGAACGTTCATTGCTGTTGATTACATTCTGCATAAGTTGGATGAAGAAAGGAACAATGATCCTGCCATTGATATTTTACATTTTGTGAGAGAAATGCGAGGTCAGAGGATGTTTATGGTTCAAACTGAAGTAAGTGGTTTCATCTCGTTGATTTGTTGTTGTTGTTGTTGTTGTTGTTGTTGTTGTTGTTGTTGTTGTTGTTGTTGTTGTTGTTGTTGTTGTTGTTGTTGTTGTTGTTGTTGTTGTTGTTGTTGTTGTCGTTGTCGTTGTCGTTGTTGTGGTCGTCATAGTAGTTGTTGTTGCTGTTGTTGTTGTTGTTGCTGTTGCTGTTGCTGTTGTTGCTGCTGTTGCTGTTGCTGTTGTTGTTGCTGTTGCTGTTGTTGTTGCTGCTGTTGCTGTTGCTGTTGTTGTCGTTGTCGTTGTTGTCGTTGTTGTTGTTGTTGTTGTTGTTGTTGTTGTTGTTGTTGTTGTTGTTGTTGTTGTTGTTGTTGTTGTTGTTGTTGTTGTTGTTGTTGTTGTTGTTGTTGTTGTTGTTGTTGTTGTTGTTGTTGTTGTTGTTGTTGTTTTATTGCTGTAGCTATTTCTGTTGTTACATATAAAATCGATGAGTGATTATGCAAATGATTGCATTTCATCCTTCTTTAGGAGCAGTACAGGTTTATCCATCATGCAATCTTGGAAGCCGTAACTTTCCCAGATACAGAAATCTCTTCAACTGATATTCGTGTCCGAGCAGCCATACTGAGGGAAACACTCCCTGGATCTAACAAAACCAAGGGAAAAGAAGTGTTCGAGGTACTAGGCACTATATAGTTGCGCACATTGTCGGGAAAATGCATCCTGCGACTATGTAAACAGATTTTGCTAGGAAAAAGAACGCATGGTAAAGCCAATGATGATATTTTGGAGACAAATACCTTCCTTGTATGTATGTATGCATGTATGTAAATTTGCTTGGTACTAATTTTCGCTCAGTCCTACATTCATGCACGGGTCTGCGCGAATTGTAATACTGTGTAATAAAAGAAATATATCTAGGATAAAATACTAAATAGCGTTTATCTACTATTTTTCTAGAACCATCAAAAGCTGGAGTTATTAACTCGGCGCATACCTGCATTGTTTCCTGAAAGTCAGGGGCGTAGAAAGCATCGAAAGATCGCGGGGGGCACCAGCTTCCAGGGGCATTTTTGCATAATAAAAAGGGCACCTAAAACATTTTTCCGGAAATGTTGGCGACGGGGGTGGGGGCAGTTGCTAGTATCCTACGCCCCTGCTGGAATGGGATGATAAAGCTATAAACGTTGTTTTAGGTATTCAACAATATTTTAATTCATTTTAGAATCTCGAAAAACGAATTCTGCTTGAGGCTTGTGAAGATGGATCTTCCAACGATAACCAGAAGAAGAACAGATCAAAACTTCTTCCTTGTAAGTTGGCAATATTTGAGTGAAATATAGATATAAAATAGAATGTATACAAGTTAATAAGGTTTGCATGGCAAGAAATATAATTCATTTGTTTTTGTGGAAAACACGATTACTTATCAAAAGGGAAATAGGGAAAAAATTCCCCCATTTGGAAAAGGGATTCAATAATAATTACAAACTATTTTACAAATGTTCTGTTTCGTTTTTGGCTTTTTTGATGTAAAATATATTACCCATCATTTAAAAAAATCGTTACGCATTCCGCCATCTTGGATATCGTCACAACCAGGATAACAATATTTCATTTGTATCTTGAGCAATTCTTAAGCCATTTATTTTAATGATAAATTCTTTTTTCTTTACTATTTCCTATTTTAAAATTAAAGCACAAGCTATGTATATAAACTTTTCACTAATAACATTTTTTTGAAATGACTACCCTAGTTATGACGTCATTTAATTAGATCTATTTATAAAACAAGATGACGGGATATTTTGGTTCAAATATCTCAAAAACTAAGATAGTCTGGGGGAATACGTAAAAAGTACTTGCAAATAATCTTAACATTCTTTCAAATTAGGCATATATAATTTTTGTTGCTATTTTCCTTTAAGTGGAAAAAAAACATTCTAATTCACCCTGGAACAATTCATCAGTACAAATAGCATGTTTCGCGATTAATTCATTGTTGTTTCCCGCAAAATATTAGGCTATGTGATTTAACACATTTTGTGAGATATGAGATTATCTCATCATTTTCATCTTATCGTTGATGTAACTCCAGATCGAATAAAAGAATGAAGATTGAAAAAAATTATGATTTTATGTTTTTTATCTGTATTTCAGCTTGAAAGGATATCGTAAGCAACTATATATATATTTTATATTGATTTCGTGTTTGATTTTCTTAATATAGTTGACTATAGCCGTGTACATCTGAATGAAATGGAAAACAGCACTGACTACATCAATGCTAGTTATATTTGTGTAAGTTTCGAATATACCAATACCTTCTTTAAGTAAGAAGAATATACGAAAACTTTGAGTAAGTTTTTCTGGCCGTAATTCCATAATAAATATTAAAGGAAGGCTCCTATTTGCATTTACCAAATTTTGATTATTTGCTGTAAAATTTAACAAGAAAAACATTCAGAAAAGGAGCTTTGGTAAAAATTTGTTTGGAAATTTTCTTACTTTTCTTTATTGATTCAAATTTTAATGTTATTTTACATTTCCAGGGCTACCAATACCCTGTAAACTTCATCGCTACACAACATCCATTGCCGCACACTGTGAGTGATTTTTGGAGGATGGTGCATGAGCAAAAATCTGCCATTATTCTTGCTATTTCCTCAAAAGAAGAGATGGTAAGTCGTTTACTTAAAATTACGTGTATGATCTCGTTTATAACATTCACCACTGTTCATATATTTATGTTATGAAATTCATTTAGATCATTTACACACACTGCCATATAGCATATATGAACACGTACAATCTATTTAAATGTGCCAGGGCTATCGAATTAAAATATTATTCTTGGTTTTTTAAAAAATTGTGACTTGGATTATCTATCAGATCCCTCCTTAATAACGCCCATGGTAATGTCATGTGTAGACTATATATACTATAGACTAAATATCGATTGCGAATTGGGATATGTAAAATGTTCGTTGGAAAACCAATTCTGATGGGTTTTCCACTTTTTAAACTGTTCACTGTTGTTGAACTTTTTCTTACAATACGGTAATCCCTGAGCAACATGTATCCATATTTACCCATCTAAATTGAGTTAAATTGGAGAGTTGAGATTTTGGAGAGTTATTTTGAGCTACGCCCACCTTTCCTGCGATCACACCCAATTTCTTACATCTTCCGATGTTTTCTTGCAACTAACATGAGAGACTTAAAATTGATATACCTCTCTTTTATCAAAACATATCAAAATCATGAGAGAGTATATAATTGAAAATGAATATATAAATCAAAATTATTTTTGCATTCAGTCTTGCTGTAGACAGGAAAGGAGCAAACTCGAAACCTCTTCTTATAGCCGGTTATAGCCGCCAGTCACTAACATTAGTAAATAAGTTATTATAAAATAAAGAAAATATAATGGTAAAAAGTTTGAAATCGTGACTTGCATGATCTCTGAATTTAGCAATGTTTATTATACGGATAAATCGTTTTTGATGGACCAATGTACGCAACTCCCAGCTCAAGAATGCCATGATTATTCTCTAGAAAAATAATACGTTTTACATTCTTCACATTCTACGCTTGTTTGTTTTCAAGGATGAGTTTGGTTCATACTGGCCGGAGGAAGGCTACGCTTCGTATGGACCAATCAATGTGGGTTTTGAAGGAAAGAACGAAGAGTTTGCTGCGTCAGGATTTATTGTCAGGAACTTTAAACTGACAGATACACGGGTAATTTTACTTTTGCATATAGTGCATAAATGAATAGACCTTTCCGGTAATTACGTCACAACTACATTGTTTTCAACTTAGGACCACCTTGAATCACGCTTAAATGGAATGGATTTCAAGTTTTTTTCTCACTGGCTATGCGCAAAGAAGCAGAACATCCTTCTTTAACACATGTATGATAAAAAAAATTTTGACCAGTAAATGCGGGAATAAGCTTTAACACGAAAACGAGGCTAAGGGACCCAAAGAGGCAATGTCCCCTTAGCCTCGTTTTCGTGTAAACGCTTATTCTAATATTTATTGGCCAAAATAAAAAAATATTTTTCATGCATGTGTTGTAGAAGGATGTTCTGCTTCTTTGCGCGTAGCTAGTGAGAAAAAAACTTGAAATCCATTTCATTTAAGGGGGTCCTAAGTTAAAATGTAGCTGTGACGTAATTACCGGAAAGGTCTATTCAGATTGATTCAAAGAAAATATAATTTCCTCATTAATTATAGTACGAAAGGAACGTAGAAGCAAGTTTATAATACATTTCACCCTATTATATGAAATATCTGAGACGCCGTGTTAAACGTGTTTGATCTCCCAGACGTTGGATAGACGTTGAAAAAGGATTGAAAATGAAAATTGGATCGACGTTAATCTTTTGACGTTGAAACAACGTTGAGATTAGGTTGCCAATGTCGTCGTTGAATCCGCGTTGAAACATCGTTGACATTGCTTCACAAATTGACATCGTATAATCAACCATGAATGAACATTGATTCGACGTCTGTTAGCTGCTGTTGAACCAACGTTTGTAAAAACAACATCAGAGCAACGCTGATATTAGGTTGTCGACGTCGTAACCTTTTTTCTGCCAAATTTCTACGTTGAAACGATGTCGTGTGCCCGTTCATTCTTATTTTAGTCGAAAATAGGCGTATATTCAATTTTGATTGAAACAGGGCCGGCGTGCTTTTCATCATTTTATGAACCGTACTTAATTAACTGCACTTCCCAGGCTCTTCGAATCCCGGGGCGAGTGACGTTCATAGTTGCAAAAATGGCGGTCTTTCTGAATTATAATCAATATGCATCTTCGGAATTCTCGTAATTAAACAGCTTTTTTAAAAGAATAGTGTTGCGACCTGCCACGCTGTGCTACGTTGCATTCGATGTTGTTCACTTTGAATGCATTTTTATTTTGTTTCCCTTTATATGTGATACAAGCAGCCGTGTTGTCAAATGAAAGTTGCACATTTTATTATTATCATAATTCATGCGGTACGGCTCATGGCAAGCACGGCTGTATGAATCAACCTGCGTTTCAGCCATGAAACGCGTTTAAACCGGGTGAACTTTTTAATTCAGCCATGCTTAATATAAATACATTGCTTAATATTTGATTCAGACGCTGTGCTTCTCGTGTGCTTAATTCAATTAAGTTCGGCTCATAAAACGTACGTCGTGTAACCGGGCCTTTTTCCTATTATTCTACTGCGCTTATGTTGTTCATTTGACTATTGCTTGTGCATGACAACCTTAGTTGAATGGGTGGCAGTGATATGCAGTGGCGTAGCCAGCCCGACAATTTAGTCCCGCTATGCAAATTCAAAATCATTGTCATTATTCATTTGGTTAGAAATTGATTATTTTTACAGTCAATGAACACGAAAATATTTGCATAGCGGGACTAAATCGTCGGGTTGGCTGCGCTACTGGTAATATGAGAGTATAATGCGGTATATTCATTATGACAGTGAATATATTTTCAGTAAGATATTTTTAAATATTTGAAAGTTTTAATTAAATAAATATTAAAAGATCTTTTACAGTATCTATCTAATAGTAATACATGTTTTTAACTTTCTCACCGTTTTAATTTTAGGATAGCGTAGGGCGTTCCTTTGCGGTAACGCATTTCAATTTTGTCGATTGGTCGCCTCATAATTTACCTACAGCGTCTTCGATGATCTGCCTATTAGCTGAGGTTGAGAAAGCTCAGAGAAAGTCTCAAAATACATTGGTTACCGTACATTGCAGGTTCGTTATCTACTGTATGTTATACAATATATTGCTCCAGATATAAATATACCGTCTGGGGAATCAAAGCGAAGAATGTTTTTCCTATGTTTTTCTCGCGTGTTGGAAAAAGACATTATGTAATAAGTAAGAGTGAAACTTACAATCTGATTGGCTAGTAGTATACCCGCGCAGGATCAGACAATCCTGCACGGAATATTGCGAGCTTTTTAAAATGTCGGATAATGAAAACATTTAAACGTGTGAATTTAACAGTAAACTGTACATTAAACGAGAGACAACGTAACGAAAACGTTAATACAGTTTTAATAAAGTTAACTGTTGTTACAAGTAGCTTTTTTATATAAAACAACTACGAAATGGTTTTCCGTGCAGGATGGCATCATCCATACGTTCCGTGGCTGCACGCGTCCATGCATGGACCCAGTTGAACAACAATTATCAAATCTTGTTTGTCAAAAAGGTCTGGATAGGGTTCGCCACGTAGCGACAACAATGAACTGAAATTATTAACAGCGACTTCTTTCAGCTAACAACTGATATACAACCATCTATTTTAGTGACGGAGGGGGTCGCACAGGAACATTCTGTGCTATAGTATCCTGCATTGAACGGGTGAAACTTGAAAACAACATCGACTTGCCCATGACTCTCAGAAATCTGCACGCTCAAAGAAAAGATATGATACAAAACGAAGTGAGTAATTTTACTTTAATACAATACCTTGTTGTACCTGGGTTTAACCATAGTTAATAGAATGGATGGTTTGGAAACTTATTAGAATAACAATTTAACTCATTATCTGTGTTAGTCAACGTTTATTCATAAGTTTGGTCCTTCACCGTCACGTGCCTATTGTATTTTTGCCCAACTAACCAATAGCAATGTCTTAAGAAAGTTACCTATCCGTGATTCGAACAATAGGGTAAATTGGAAATTGCTATTGTGGATTTGGCAAAAATACAATACACACGTGACGGTGAAGGACCAGATTTCTGAATAAACGTTGATTAATTAACATAGATAATGAGTTATATCGTTTACAAACCATCTATTCCATTAACTATGCTTTAACCTTCGCGGTCAAACGAGGATGAGAGTTGATGAGAGTTGGAAGTTACGGGGGGAGAGTTGATCAGAGTAGGCAGTCACACATTGTTACGGGGGGCATTTTAATCTCTTCTCTAGATTAACAAAATAAAGGTTTAATTTGATGAGTGTTTCAACGTTTTAACGTTAACAAAATACATGATAGTGTTGGAAAAGTATTAAGAACAGCTGACCAAGGTGCGTGACTGCCACTCTCTCACCCTCGTTTCATCCGGGCTTTACTCTATTTTACAACATTGTTGTAACGCTCATTTTGTCTTCGAACACCAATTTCATTTCTATGTGAACGAGATAAACATAATTGATTGAAAAAAGTTTACTACTGTAATAATATACATAAAAATATTACTAGACTGTGATTCGTTGATTTCAGTGCAGTTAATCTCAAACAGCAGGGCAAAAGTCTGCAACCACATGCAGTGCAAAAATCTGTAACAAAACTAGTGCAACAATCTGTAACAAACTGATCTAATTGGTGGAAAAACAATGGGATCTAAATTCAACCAATCAGTTTAAAGCAGTCCTCAAGTATTATTAATCCGATTAATACGTAATCGGATATTTTCTCGTGAAATCTGGATAAAACAAGCACTCGCGCGTTTTTCAAAGACCTCAAATAGCACTCGTCCTTCGGACTCGTGCTACTTTGATGGTCTTTGAAAAACTCACTCATGCATGTTTTATCCAAATTGCACTCAAAACCATCCTACTACCTATACTTATTGTGCATTAATTTTACTGGGAAATGCTACTTGCAACCAGCAACATAATTATCCTAGATGTGTAATACACGAGGCAATATACACTTTAAAAATTAAAACAAAAATTGTAGAATTAAAACAAAATCAACTATTAAAGGGAAATGGCAATATATTTTTTTATTTTCCCATATGAAAGAACGTTTGAAACTATTGATAACTTGTTTTACCGATTCATCATATCTTGCCTGGTTCTTGAAATATTTCCACTTGAAGTAATGAGATGTCAGCCATCTTGGATAAAGTTTTGATCTCATTAACGATAGTTTTGGTGACGTCACAACAGGGATTAACCATACAAAAGTATTCGTTACTGACCAAATATTGATTGGT